TCCCCGTGAGCCACTTATCATCCAGAAAATTGCCGCTCTCGGAGCGAGCGGAGACGTGTCCAAAGGCGACGGCGCACACACACAGCAAGGCGACGCTCAGCATCTGCGGACACACAACAGCACACACAGATAGAGAGAGGACATTGGGTCCGGCTGTAGGACACCGCAATCGCGCTGAAACAGAAGCAGTTCAATCTGCGTCGCATCTGCGACGAACGCTGAGCGTCAGCTCGGTAAATATCAACACGGAGCTTTCTGGTGGTTTTTTCCTACCTTGTCGCATCAGCTGCTCTCCAGACTGTATGTGCTCGCTGCCGTTCCTGTCACTAGTAATAGCAGCCTCTCCTCCCTCACCGTCTCTCCGCACCGGCTGTCTGTGCGCAGCAGAAAACGGGAACGCGCTCGGATGCGTGCACGAGCTCTGTGTCTTTTTCTGTTTTTTTGTATCCGCGCGTAGGAGACGCTCCTGATTGTTGGATGTGGTGCTGCTATCAGCTAAAGTGATTTCCAGTGATTACCGCTTACGAAAACTGTAGCGCTGGTCTTCAGTATTTACAGTTTTGTGCAAGAATCTATTGTAATTCGCACTCCAACAATAAATTACTGTCAGTATCTATGATGTACATTTCCTTGTATACTTTTTCAATTAAATACACAAAAGGAGGTAAAAACAAACACATTTAAAAAAAAGATCTCTTGGGAAGAGCAGTTCATGTGCAGTTCTGATTTGGACTGTTCCAGCAGTCAAATAAAGCCTACCGCAAACTTCGCTTTGCATGTTTTTAAAGGGTAATGATGGCTTTTAAAAATGTAGATTATAATATTCATATTCAGTTGTTCCCACAAAGAGTTTTAAAAATGAAATCCCAAACATGTCTTTAAAAAACCCTAATTTAATAAAGTAAAACTGTATTTTTCAGAAAATGTCATGTATGAGCGTAAACTCTAATTAATATTAGGTTAATAGCACGAGATAAAATGAGAATTTAACAACAATCTTTTTTTTTAAAAGTGATATATGTGCAATTTTAGTAAAATTGTGAAAATATGCAAAAATCATGTTTATTAGGCACAATTTTTTCATGTTATTTGACATTAGACAAGTTAACTCACAGACTAATTTTGGTAATTATATTGATATTCCATGTATTTAAAATAATGGGAACATTCTGTAAATTTTTTAAAATTAAAATCCTGTTAAAATACAGATTTCATTTACAGGGTGCGTTAAGTAGTCTAATCATAAAGGAAGGTTGCAGAGACATTTTATATTTTGTAAAAATGATAATAAAAGTAATTATTCGAATTAAAATATGATCAAAAATGAATTCAAAGAAAAAGAGAAAAGTGTTTTCTCCCAAATAAATCAGTCTCATCAGTGCTGTTTGCCCAGGAGTGATGTGTGAGAGAGTTTCACTCCAAGGTCAGCTGAAAGGTCAGAAATTCCCCCCCAAATGAACCACTCTGCATAATCTGTGGGTATGGGTGGAGCCACTCTCTGTTAGGTTAACCCCAATTTTGAACATGCAAAGTCCAAGACCTTCTTCCCAGTGGCTCTCTGTGTGGGGCAGTACTTTTGGTTTTCAAAGAACATCTCAGGACCACATTGTGGCTTTATTGTTATGGTTTACAGCTATATGATGGCTCATACCTTGCCTCCATAGTGTAGTGGTTAACACATTAGCTTGACAAGAGAAAGGTTGCTGGTTCACTTCCAGGGATTGTGTGAGGAGGGGCATCCTGCTGTGGTGAACCTTTGTGACACGGAAGCAGCTGAAAGTAGCCTGATGGGTGGCACATTTAAAGGGACAAAAGGAACCAGCAACAAACTATACAGTTGTTGAGTTAACCTCTGCAGGATGGCTCTTTGAGAAATGCTCCATGTAACTGAAATGACTGAAGCAATATTGTTTCTAATAATATATACATTATTTAACTGACAGTTATTCCAGTGTTACCTTTGGCTCATCGCCAGTCCATCATAATGGCATCACAGAGAGACGGGCAACCAAACACTCATATATCTACAAAAGTAGCCAATTTAGAAAAACCAATCAACCTATTTATCTAAACCACAGGACACACACACACACACACACACACACACACACACCCAAACGTCACGCTGAGAGGCTTCAGCTGACCAGCAGCTTCAAACCCTTCTTGAGGTGAGAAAACCCCGTTAACCACTCCAACACCATGCCCTCCCACATTCTGGAAGATGAAACACAGTTTTTCAAAAGTGATATTCTTAATTTTTCAAAAATTAAGAATATCACTTCATTTTCTTCCTCCATATACCGTCCAGTGACACAGTGAGGGTGTGTTTAATCAGATATTACCTTTAATTTGTCAACCTGACGCAAAAGATGATGATTTAAAAAGAAAAAGAGCAAAAGCCTTGTAACCACTTATGGATGACCAAGTTAAAGCCGATTATTACCAGTCTGAGAGGAGAGAGTCCTGGTGGTCAGGTGGGTCATGGCATTATAATGCACAGTTGCTGTAGAAACCAACCTTGACCTCAGCTTCACATCTACAGGAGAGTGTGTGTGGGCATGTGAAAAGGATGACAGAGTACCGACATCTGAAAGTCAAATTAGAACTATGAGGCATGCATGACTGCATCGGGAAGACACACAAGAGTGCACCATGCGGCCGTGCACAACTTGGAAGATAAATGGTCAACCGCATAAGTACAACTAGATGTAGACAACCCAAAGAAAATGTTTGAAGTGCACTCTGTGTTTGTTCCAACAGGAAGTTTGCAACATGTAAACAGGAAGCCGATAGTAGAAAAAACCATGGTGGTTGTAGGAGCAGGAAGTGTTGGTCTACTCTGAACTGTTGATCAACAAAAAGTGATTTAATCTTGGTTATGACATTTTATTTTATTTGTATTTTTCATGGCTTGCCATTCCTTTGTGCTTTATGAAATTTGTGCAATAGGAAGCTGCAAAAGAGGTGTGTGTGTGTGTGTGTGTGTGTGTGTGTGTGTGTGTGTGTGTGTGTGTGTGTGTGTGTGTTTCAAAGGCCAGGAGGTTCATACATTATTCAGTCTCAGACATTAAAGATGTAGATGTGGTCAGAGACATATGCAGGAGAGACACAGGGAACACTCGCACACAGACAAGCATAGCAATGCACGCAAATATGTTGCTGCCTAATTGAAACTCTGCAAACATTTTTCACTGCTCTGCAGTTTGATTCCTCTTTTTATCCACAGAGTAAAATTAATAAAGATCTCACATTGTTGCCTCAGTCTTTGTGCAGGCAGTGAGAGAAACACGCGAGAGGAGAGACGGAGAAAAGGATGGGCTGGAAAATAGGACAAAAACAACATAATGTGTGAGTGTGTGGGGCTCTGTGTGCATTTGGATGGGAGGGGCATGAAATGTGTCTCAAGGAGCAGAGATTTCACAGCTCAGTGACTCTGTCACTGTGCACCTGCTCGCTGAGGCGGTGGGAGGGAGAAAATGAGAAGGAAAAAAAGTGGCAAGGTGAGGAGGTTTGAGGTAAAAGAGAGTTGAATTTTATTGAGAGAGCCAGGCTAAGCACATCATGGAGTTTAGTGTATACGGTATTATTATTTTTTTTTTAAAAAGTGCACAGAGGCATGCTGTGAAGTACCACGATACTGGTCTTTTATTGAAGAACACCTACATACCCACTCCCCCCAAAAAATATATTATTAATACTGTATTTTTTATATATATATATATATATATATATATATATATATAATTTATTTGAAAGACTGGGAACAAAGGGCATTACTATAGCCTCGACTCTCTTGAATATTGTGGAAAACCTTCCCAAATCTACCTGGAGGGATTTTCCCACTTTCAGCCACCAGAGGGTTGAACCATGAAGCCTAGCTCTGAGTCCCAAGTCATCCTCAAAGCACTGACGGCGCTCTAAATGCTCCACTTTTTTCTGGTATTTTGCAAGCTTCCTACTGTCACACTGTGTTGTATATAAAAAGCAATTGTAACCATTTCTAATAAAATAATGCTCACATTTAATTTATTAGTAACAATATCAGTAGATCATTAGTTCTCTTAACTGGTCAAAGTCATGGAAAACATCCCCAAACTAGAAATGCACAGAGGTTAATCTGTGTATGCAGTTGCACACATAAGATAGCATCTTTTGCGTGCTACACCAATGCAACTTTATATACTCTATTTTTATATGTGTCACACAATACTTTTAGTAAAGCTGCATATTACAATGATTTACGAGTCCTTTATGCCAAATACCGCATTAGGAAAAGTAAAAGGACTCTGCACAGTGGTACAGTGGTTAGCCCTATTGCCTCACAGCAAGAGGGTCATGAATTGAAATCCACCAGCCAACTAGGGCCTTTCTGTGTGGAGTTTGCCTGTTCTCTCCACGCTTGCGTGGGTTCTTTCCCACTCCCCTTTGACTTATGTGTCAGTGTGAGTCCGAATAGTTGTCTGTGACAGACTGAATACTTGTCCAGGGTGCACCCTGCCTCTCATCCTATGGCAGCTGGTACAGGATCCAGTTGAAGTGAGTTAGATTTGGAGCCAGCAAAATAAAAAATAAAGTCTAGGCAAGAATGTAACATATAACTGTGTTATGAGGTATCTAATGAGATGACATGTTAGTGAACCTTAGATACCAAATGCAAAGTTTTTCTTGCTTATTACTGAGTTTCACCTTCTCAGTTTCGGTCCTCCATTGTTACATTATTTGCTCCATAAAATCAATTTGTTTACAATGATTGACAGGACTGGATGCTGCAGACAGACCAGTACTAAAATAGAATATATTGAGACTGGCAGCATGCTCGTATACATTGTTCATCATTCATGATGCATGTGCACTAACGCACACCAATTCTGAATTTTGAACTCTGTGCTCACAACAATCCAGTAGTTCCCTTCATTTTTAATGCTAAAGTTCATGATTTTAAAATGCATGGTAAGATACAGTGGTAAGTGCTTCTGAGCCCAAGAATTGACAGTTCAGCACAAAACTGCTTTAGCTTTATTATTGCAGTGTGGGTTAAAGTCATTATTAACAGCATTATTGCACTATTACAAACAACGATTTCTCTGGATTCTCTGAATCTTTGCATTTTTTATGGTGACAGATTTATCTTTAAATTGTTGCAGTCTATTACAGAGCACTGAATTGACCTTTTCTTTAAAATGCGGGACTAAAACAAATATTAACATTTGATGTTTTTGCACAAGTTTAACTTAAAAATACAACATAAATATTTAAAACAATAATGTTGTTATTTACATTTTACACAGCATCTCATCTTTTTTGAATGATGATTGAAAAGAATGAAAGCATTATGATTGAAATAATACAATGATATAAAAATAACACTCTCCCTCCGTCTTCTTCCACCATGACAGGACAGGAAAATAAAAAGGTCGTGAGTGAGACTCAGGTGTGCTGAAATCTTTAATTGGATTCCACACAATCTCCTTTCTTGCTTCAGTGTAATAAAACAAATGGGTTTTTAGTTCTGTGACACTCTCATGCCATTTATTCAAAGAGGAAACAGTGATGTCGTGTTTATGAGCAGAGTTTAGAACTGGATCCAAATGAATGTGCATAATTTTGTCTTCACGAGTATATACAGTGAATTTAAACTGGAACTGTATATGTACGTGTCTCTGTGTGTGTGTTCATGTATTGAGAGAGAAAGACATAGGGACAACTCTCAGATGTGGGGTGAGGAAAAAGCTATCTTGGAAACCATGTTTTGAGCATAGCAGTGACTTTAAGGTCAATGTTTTAGCCCCAGGATAAAAAACTAATAGCATAATAATGACAGAGAGGGAACTGCAAACAAGAGATAAGGTGGACGAAAACAAAATGCTGATCGCTGAGAAGGCTGATTGCAGAGCTACTGTGCTAGCATTAGAAAGAGGAAGAGAGAAAACTGAGGAGGAGACAGAAAGAACAACGTTAGGGATATTAAAAAAAATTATGGGTGCTTTTTCTGCTGTATTTCTGTGACTCACATTAAAATGATTGAATGACTATCTGACAAGGTAATCGTTTAACATCCATGACTTACAAAGGACAAAATTCAGCATCTATCACTTTGTCGCTTATATTCAGTCGTATGGGACATGAATGACATAATGAAACACACTTTTTTGACTATCCAAATGAATCAAGTGAATCCACCTGCAGTGTTTCCATATACTATTGCATCCCTGCCCCACTATCGGTCCACTCAGTTTTCAAGTTGGGAGATTTGACAGGAGATCGCTGATCTAAAAATGACATAAAGCACATGAAACACAGTAAACTTGGATGTATAAAAATTGCATTTTTTATAAATACAAAGACTCTGGTTACTTGGAAGCAAAATAAAGAAAAAGAAAAGACAGGTATATGTGTATGTATTCCTACTTAGCGTGAGAAATAAGCTTTAAAATGTAAAGGAGAAAGGTTGCTGACAGAAAGGCTGATTAACTTATCACTTAGTGGCCAACTTACAGAGCTTAATACAGGCTTTTTGGTCATGGTGTTTGTTCTCCCCCTTGTGGTGATCATTACATATTACATGACATCAAAAAAAAGAGGTGTAAGCCAACTAATCAACCGGAATCAGCTAATCAGTTACTGAAATATACTTCGAGCAGAACATAGTGACGGTCTTCATAAGAACAGCCTTTCGGGTCATAATTCTTTTCATTCTTCAAAATATATATGATTGTATTACAGCAGAATCCTGCAAAACATTTAAATTTGACCCATTTGTAACCAATGAACTGGCTGCACCTCTAGTACAATGCAATTCATTGGTTACCCTGCAACAAAAACAACTGTTACCCAGTTTTAATATGCAGCTCTGCTCACATTTAAAGGAGTCTTGTTGACACGACTTAGAAACATTAGCAGGTTTCTAATGTTTCTAATGTTTTGCCAGCCTCCATTTTCATACCTTACAATTTTCATACTTTACAATGAGCTGCACTCAAATGCGACATCATTACTTTTAGCTTTGAAAATTGTCACAAAGATTCTGTTGTACCCGATTAAATTATTCCTTGGTTTATTCAGCTTCTTACAAAGCCAGCCTGTCTAATGAAATGAGTAACTGGTCAGTATCCCATCCATCCATCTGGGCACCCATAGCTTTGCCGGTCTGACCTGGAGCCACAACACCGTTGCCCTAGTAAAGAAGGCCCAGCAGTGGATGCACTTCCTCCTTGTCCTGAGAAGAAATAACCTGGACCAGAAGCTACTGCTGGCCTTCTACCACTCCTCAGTGGAGAGCGCACTCTGCCTGGGTGTTTGGTACGCAGGGCCCACAACTGTGAACAGGAAGGCTGTGCAGAGGGTAATTAACGCTGCCCTCTGCCACTCCTAGAGGCCATCGCCTGATCCTCCTGTCACAGGAAAACCTGGGCCATCACAAATGACCACCTGTTTGACCTGCTGCCCTCTGGGTCAGTTAGGTCCCACACCTCCAGACTCACAAACAGCTTCCTCCCGTGGGCCCATTTGGACTGTTAATAAACACTATCCCCCTACACCCCACTGATGACCACCCACCTTCACCTCACTAATCTGAACTGAGTATCATGGACTGAGTAACGCTCATCACTCAGGCCACTCACACACGGACTCTGTTCAGACCAAGTCTTTTCTTTGCAGTACTTCCAACCACTTTGCAACTTGTTCTCTAATGTGTTCCTTTCTCTTATTTTTGCACGTTTCACTTGTTTGCTCTTTATTCCTGCTGTCTACTACTTATATTTTATTCCAGCACAGTTGGTGTGGTGCACCCACAATTTCGTTGTACATGTACTATGACAATAAAGGCGATTCTATCCATTTTAATTACAGGAATTGAAATGGGAACTTTCTTTAAAAGGTCATCAGTGCCTTTGTTTCAACAACACACCTTTATTTTAAACATGTTAGCACAGGCAGCTTCACACTAAATTGTAATACTATTGTTTCTCCACTAGGGGATAGCACAGGACATGAAGCACAGTGCCCCATTTAAAATTTTTTATTTTGGTCCAGTTTACAAGACAAACACAAATGAATCAAACATTTCAGCATTCGTTGTCCTCCAACTACCCCCCAGTCATTTTTTTGATGAGGACTGCTCCCCGACCATGTCAGTTTTATATTCCCTGAATACACAAAGAAGCGCAAACTAAAATTCCACACAAGCACTTATTTGTCAGATTTGCTCATTTCCGGTACATGCACACATGTGCAGTGTGATTTTTATTACCCCATTCCCTCTGTGTCTACACTTCTTTTACTGATCTCTCTCGCTCTCTTCTATTTTTCTTGTTTCCTTGCCCATTCTCCTTCCCAGCACACACAGCAGCTTCTGTTACAATATAAAAGTCTTTGCAGGCTTTCTGTTCTCAAACACAGATGAAGATGCACACCACGAATGCCGCCACTCTCAATGGGAGACCTCGCCAGCGAGCTGTAGATTGAGTGTCCCAGGGTGATTAACTATTGATATGGGGCTCAGGTAACGCACCTGATATCTGAGGGGGTGGGGGAGAAAGACAATAGCATCGGAAGAGTGAGGGGGGTGGAAAAGAGAGAGTGAAACAGAGAGAAATAGTGTCCAGGGGTAGAGTAGAATAGAGACATATAATGATGGGAGAGTGAAGGCTGAAGGCCAGCTCACAGACAAATAACAAGTACATGGTTGAATATGCTGTAAATCCACATACAGGCCCCCCTTTGGATTGGTGGACTGAGTGGATGCTCAGGCCCAGCAGCCAGTAGCTGAATTGCATATTGTGATGTCTCAGGGCATAGCTGAGGAAATGGGATGGAGAGGGCACTGGAGGGGGGGGTGTCTTTGTGTGGAGGGCAGGCTATAAACAAATGGATCACTGTGAGTTAGAGAAGAACCATCCATTTGTCTTTAGCAACACACATTATGGTCCTGCTCTCCAGTATCCCTCAAAACAGACCTGCTTCTTTGTGTAACACCAGTTACAACTTACACCGTCAGCACTTATTGCAATCACCCCCCTTTAAATTCTTTATTCCTACCTCTTTGCTGTCTGATAAGAATCTCTCCCTTATTCATACCTTTTTGTAGGTGGGGAGTTAAGCAAGCCCACTTTCCCAAAAGCAATAACAGCAAAGCAGCTAATATCGGGTATAGTGTGCATATAGTGCTGTATTCCTGTAAATGGATGATCTGGGAAAATATACATTTTATTCACACTGTCATCAGCTGATATCGTTTGATTATCCATTATAATTCTTCTTACTGTTAAAACAAACTTACAAAGCGGTGGAACAGACGGCGTATTGAAGTTGTTCACACCCAACATTTAGGAGCGTTTATGAGTTTCGGTGGGCCGAGTGTTGAATACCGGCACCATCAGGAACTAATTAGAAGCACACCCACATACAAGGTGAGAGAAATAAAGAAATCTTTTGTAAAGGGTGCCTTATGAAGTTATACTATGAGACCTCATAATATCCGGTCATTACACAAGTCCAAACTTACTGATTGTGGCTACAAATAACAGTAAATAAAAGTGAATATAATTTAATTTTCTGCTTGATTTAATCGATTTGAATTTAAAAGACTTAACATGGCGCCTCCTTTTCTACCTTACCTTCGATCGCTAAGCTCATTTAAAAAAACCCCAAAAAAACAATACAAAAACCCAAAACGATTGTGTCAACACAAACTGAGTCACCTAGTATGTAGGCTTACCTGTATGGGCTGTTATACTCCACCGCTCCGTCGTGTTTTTTCCCTTCTTTCTGCCACTCCCTTCACTTCCATCCTGCAATACAGATAGCCCCGCCTTTCGGCCACTCCTGTGTGAGATTCTGAGTTTAATGCTCCCTCCGCTCCTTCTCGGTTGCCGGGGGACGTGTTTTACTGACTACCTTTTGCGTTGTTTCTACACGACGCGTAAAATTCTCTTCAGGAAAATCGAGACTGCTGCAGTTTCACCTTTAATTTCTCCCGAACTACACTGAAGTCCCCAGGTAAGCCCAACCCAGGCGAACTTTTAGTCAACAGGTGCTTTTACCTGGTTCGCCCATAAAACTTGGCAGTTTTATTTTTTCATACAGGTGGCTGATATTGATGAAGATGACAGGTTACAGGCTACTTTCTTACCTTTTCTTTTAAAGCTCAGCCGGCTGTCCCCATCCCCCTCGAGGTGCAGGTGTAGTCAGGTTGCTATCTTATGCTGTGTTCACGTCCCTTGCGAAAAATCTACGCCGAAAATGTCTCTCTTTAGCCGAGAATCATTGTTTCGCATTTTTTCCTTAAATTTAAAAGCTGATCCATTTTGCAGAGTTGGATATGTGTGTGTGTGTGTGTGTGTGTGCGCGCGCGCGCGCAGCTTTATTCATACATTTTTCCTCATAAAAATCTAATTTTTGGTCCCTGGATTTTTGCCCTTCTTGACTTGAAGGATTAACCTTTTCACCCATGACTTAAGCTATGATCGATATATATATATAGAGAGAGCTATAAAACATATAAAGACCTGTAGAAATAGGCAAACACGACCACTACTACATTGGTGTTTTTTTTGTTTTTTTTTAGTTAGCTTACTTATCACACATGATATCAAATCTGTTGGCCGGACTTTGACGTTCCATTACAGATGTTTAGAGTTTACAGTTTAATATCACGTGTCCAGTGGACTGTCTTATATGACCTTAAGCTAAGGTATTTCAATACCAGGCGTAAAGACGGCGATTCTCTGTGACTTTTTTTTCCTTGTGGGAGGGTCAACATCAGAGCACCTGTTAAGCCAGTCCTGTTCCTCCGACGCAAAGTGATCACCTGACATTTTTCTTTTTCTTGACTGCTCAGTCTCTGTCAGGCCAGAGGTAGTTATGTCACTCGTGCGTGTGTGACAGTCACTGCTAAACAGACCAAAGTAAGTCCAACTTGAATTTCGATTGGGATGAATTTCGTCCTCAGAAATTCTTTGCGGTATTGATTTAACAGTCAGACTGTTGGTTTGTGTTATGACGTGTACCTTTGCTCAAATCTTACCCTTATTATAAGGGATAAAAGGATATCCCTCCTAGACTGTGACAGCCTGCCTTACTTAACAAACTGTGTTCCCACTTACTTAGGGCCAATCCTATTTTGTTTCCCCATTGATAATATTTTTAAGCAAATAGGGGAATTTAATACCATCACTATCACATTCATCACTTCTTTCTTATTTCTGGTTCACCTCGGTTGCTGGAACACATTGGCTTTATCCCAGTCTCCTTTTTATTTTATCCTTCTTTATTTCCTGACAATGTTTATCTCTTGAAAAAGACAGACCATGTCTGACCACATTGATTGGTGCTTCCTTATCTGTAGTTCACATTAATGAGATACCATCACTGTAAACTCGTTCGCTCTGTCTTTGTTTATTTGCTGACATAATGTTTTAAAAGACGGAGCCTGTCTGACCTGTTCTCGTGTAGCAGTGCCATAATCATGATGAAAGGGAGGGAGCAGTAAGGGTAGTCGCGTGTTCAGAATCAAGGTAAAGGTGAGGGGAAAATACCTTATACTGGACAAAAAGCTGTGATTTTTCCCTTTGTCAGTGGAGAACACGTTGTCCCTGAGCAGATCTAAAGGCTCTTGACCTTTACTTATCTGTGAAGTGCTCTTGCATCACCTTCCATCTTAGAGTTAACAGTACAAAGTATTGTTTCCAGATATCACAGAATTTCAAATAACCTTTTATATACTCGACCTGTTATAACTTTTCACACATATGTGCACTTGCATTTTTTTGTTGATGACACTTGTATGCAGCCACTAGGCCCAGATACGTGTTGCTATGTCAAATTTCATTATGAGGGTTTAACCTCGGGCATGATTTAAAAGAAAAGGATTGCATCACACCTTTCAGCAGGTTACGAAGCCGTCTTCCGCCAGTAGTCACCAGCTAGCCGAGCAATAGGACTTCAAAGCTACCATCATCTGGATGTCTGAACCCATTTAATCTTTTAGATTGTTTTTTCTTTGATTTTTCTAAAATTCAAGCGTTATTACCTCAGGCTAGCCAGTCTTGCCCTTCAAGGTCCTCAGCTGGGTTCTTTTTTTTTTTTTTTTTTTTTTTTTTTTTTTTGCAGCAAATAAACCTAAGACCAGTTTATCTTGCTTCACTTGAGAGATATGAGCCAAAAATAAATAGCTAAAGGCTGACTTGTGTTTGACTTAATATCAGCTCTTGGACGTCACTTCTCCGCTCTCACCAGGGTGAATTGAACTAATGAGCCCCCACTGTGGAAACAGCAAGGGGCCTCCTGCTGTGTTACATCCCGAAAACGTTAGTCTGCATTAGAGAGTGTTAATCACGGTATAATTACCACATTGTGGTACTGATTGGATAAAAGTGCTTCCTGCCAAAACTATACTTGGTTTGATTTTTAGTAATGCATAAGAGATTATGTGTGCAGAAAATGCTACAAAACAGGGAACCTGAATGGAAGACTAATTTTAAGATAATCACATAGTTAAAGTCCCCCCCTCAAAAACTATTAAATACTTTCTTTCTCAGTTACTTTTGTGTTGATTTTGAATTAAAAAAAAATACAAATTATTGTGCAGAAGAGTTGTTATGCTTAGTTTTTTTTTTTTTTAAGAAATATTTTGTATGTCTGAGCTGTCAGATATTGATCATGCATCATATTCAACGACTGAAACCATTTTTTTCCTGTTAAATAACTGTAATTTAGCATCTTCATCAAAACAAAAAACGGAGTCTCTATCTTTTTGATTAAAGAGGTGGTGCGTTGTGGAAGATTAACTGTTGCAGATACATTAAATTTAGATTTTTCTTTAAATGACCAATACGGTTAATTTAGAGCAGCTGTGGCATAAGCCTTACATTGGGTGGTGGACTAATAAACTTGTTAAACACTGTACAAAGTTTATCCCGTTAAGCTTAATAGTTTATTAATCATTGTTAATTATCATGTAAATCTAAAGGAAATCAGTATCCTGCATGGGCAGACTAAGATGTTAATTGTAGATTTTTGCAGCCATTACTGCCTACATCACATTTGTCTGATTACCTTTGTATATTTTAACAGCGGCTTAGCTCGTAAGATGAATCGCACAATATCAAAAGTATCAACATTACACTGATTTATCTCCCAGCATTCCCCTGCTGACTATTATCTTACAAACTACAATAGCTGTCTTCCCAAGGTTTGCTCTAATCTTCCCCATCTCATTTTGTCTCCATCCATATAATCCCATAATATTATATCCTTCAATTCTCTGAATCCAGATCACTTCCTCAGCTGTCCCTGCACACACGGTAACCAGACTCCATTGTTGGTAACCTAAGTCATGACGCATCTTAGTCCTCAGTAGACATTGGCTGGTTTCTATAGTTACCATCAACAGTCTGTGCTGAGAAGTGTCTGTAACAACATGCTGAGGCTATTTTAATGCAAAATGGTGACACCCTTTAGTCCTCTTCATACCTTGCCTTGAAGAGAGAAACTCCATATTGTGATTAAACAAGTGTCTTCCTATTATGATTGAATGCTATAAGGCGAGCAGAATCAACAGGTGCAATTGTAATACAATCGGGAGACATTACTTGTGCCATGACAAAACAAAATGTAGGAGATGTATTGTGGGGCAGAGAGGATATCATAAATGGCTCACCCTTGAAAGGCTTCCAGACCAACATACAACTTTCCATATTCATCTATAGGTATTTAAATAGCACCCATACATTTCCCTTGGATGTGATCACCACACAGCTACCTGTAGCAACTTATGGGTTAGGCACTGTAGATAAATGTAACCTGCGTAGTGGACGACCCTCCATAAAAAGGCTTTCACTGTTAATCATTAATCCAAATGAGAGGGGCCGAGAGAGAGAGCAAGAGAATGGGTGTAGGCATATAGGGCACAGGCTATGAAATGGAGGCTCAATAATAGTTCTTTGTGTTTGTATTTGTGAATAGGGCGGCTGGAGGTTCAGAATGACGTTGGTGCTACCCACACCATGTCAGCGACAGTTGCGCACAGGGTGATTAGAAATGGAGCGGTGGAATCGAAGTACGTCAGAAGAAAGAAGAAGTTGATAAGGAAATGTAATGTTTTGATGCCAGAAAAATGAAACGGCACAAAAGCTGAGACCTTGTAATTTCTTCATATGGATTTGTATGTATGAGAGAACTGAAAGAAAATTTATACAGCAGAATTCATTTCCAGGCTTGAAGTTCAATGAACAGGAAATAAGATTTTCAACTCTCTGAATCATGCTCTGCTAATAGAGATAAAGGTTTATCTCGACTAAATAAACTCGTCTAATTAGTAATTTTCCATCAGCCTCCTCCTTGAAGGTGCAAAGCACACAGACAAGTAACTCCTAGTGAACAAAGTTTTATGATGCATTGCTTTTGGATAAACAGTGATCTGTATCTGTATTATAATATTGCATTGGAATGTCTGTACTGTGTATCTTGCAGCTGTAATCCTAATATTGCTCTTTTTATTATTATTATTGTTTCAGCCATGCTACTACCCTCATCACTCCTACTCCTCCTGGGCCTCCTCACATGGAGTCCCAGTACGACAAGAGCCGCTAAAGTGATTGTGGTCCCACCCATCATGTTTGAATCGCACCTCTACATCTTCAAAACGCTGGCAACAGCTCTACACAAGGAGGGCCACGAGACCCATTTTCTAGTTTCAGAGGGTCGTGAGGTCCCGCCCTCTCCTCACTACCATTTACAGCGCTATCAAGGGATCTTTAACAGCACCACAGCTGACAATTTTCTCCAATCCAAAGTCACC